CTGTCAGGAAGTTTCTCCTTAGTTCTAGGTTGCTTCTCTCTTTGGTTAGTTTCCACCCGTTGCTTCTTGTCCTGCCTTCAGGCGCTTTGGAAAATAGCTTGACTCCCTCTTTTTTGTGGCAGCCCGAGATATTGGAACACTGCTATCATGTCAACCCTCGTCGTTCTCTTCGTTAAACTAGACATACCCAATTCCAGCAACCGTTCCTTATATGTTTTAGCCTCCAGTCCTCTAATCATCTTTGTTGCTCTTCTCTGCACTCTTTCTAGAGTCTCAACATCTTTTTTACATCGTGGTGACCAAAACTGGATGCAGTATTCCAAGTGTGGCCTTACCAAGGCATTGTAAAGTGGTATTAATATTTCACGTGATCTTGATTCTATCCCTCTGTTAATGCAGCCTAGCACTGTGTTGGCTTTTTTGGCAGCTGCAGCACACTGCTGGTTCATATTTAAATGATTGTCCACTAGGACTCCGAGATCCCTCTCACAGTTACTACTATTGAGCAAGGTACCTCCTATACTATACCTGTACGTTTGGTTTTTCTTGCCTAAATGTAGAACCTTACTTTTTTCACCATTGAATTTCATTTTGTTAGATAGTGCCCAGTGTGCAAGTCTCCTATTAAGAGAGAAAAAGCTTTACTTTTCTACTTACCAAATATTTTCTGGTGTTCTTCTGCAGAGTAATCAGTAGTTGCTGGAGGGCTGTTCCCTCGAATATCTTGATTTTTAATTTCTAAATAGTTGTAGGAGCCTATCTGAATTCCAGTACTATTATATATGTTGTAATGTGGCGGTTCTTCTGATTATGAGGAAATATTTAGAAAAAAAAAACCACAAGTGTAAAGACAGAGACAAAAGCGTAAGGAATAAATAAATACCAAACTGTAGGTTAATAGATATTTGAAATTTAGAACAGTGTTTTTGCATAAAATGACAATGGTATAATTTCTTCTGCTGAACATCAAGGGCAGATTCAAAGAATCATCCTTGGGTTTTTCTTTTACCAGAGTTGTTTAGTATAGTCAGTATGCCAATAGTTTGCCAACACGTCACAGCATATTTGAAATCACAGGCTTATTTGAAAGCTTAATTTATAATCCTCATGTTTTTAAAGGACGTATCAATGACTCCACCTGTTACTTGAATAATTAAAAAAAAAAAAAAGCCTTTGAGGCATCATGCTATTTCATTCCAGGATAGGCAAAGCTATGCATAGCAGGAAAAGGCATAAATAGTAATAAGCTATATTGTCTTTTATGCTTGAAATTTCCCACCTCTGTCTTTTTTTTACAGTCCCATTAATTCTACTCACCCCCTTCTAGTTTTGTTCCTCTTCATCCAGTTGTTTATTAATTCTCATTAATTCTCTGATAGGAAGTCGGCCAGCAAGCTTCCTGTTCCTGGCCATTCTCAAGAAAGATTGTCTCTCTAGCCTTGAGGAAGATTGTCGTTGCTAGCTTTCTAGCTATACCTTGCATTGGCTGGGTGTGCCTGTTAGCAACTGCAGGGAAAGGGAAAGGTAAGGGAACCTGGGCATGATGGGGGCTGGAAGAAGGCCTAGGTCTCTCAGGAGTGGTATGGAGAATGAAAAGGCCCACATACTAGCTGGCTGAGGCCTCCCAGACCATTGGGGGGGGAAGGGAAATTGCAGGGCTCTTGTGGTCTTAAGGACAAGTGTGCTGCCAATCAATTGCATTTTGATCACATAACTCTGGGGGTACTGCAACTGTCAGAACTGTTAAGCAGGGTTCTTAAGTCCCTTTGTTCTGCACCATTGTAATTTCAAAGGTTATTGAACGAATGGTTATAAGTTAAGGACTATCTTTATAGCGCTTTAATAAAGGAGGCATTCCATATATATATGGGGTTCAGTGTTTCAGATGAAGTCTAGATGGCAACACAGAGACAGAGAAAAGTCTAAACCAGTGGTTCTCAACCTTTTTAATGCCGCGACCCCCAACCGGTCGTAAGTCGAGGACTAAACCAGTCTAAGTCGAGGACTAAACTGGTCGTAAGTCGAGGACTACCCAACCGGTCGTAAGTCGAGGACTTTCCCTGCCCGGGAGCGCCGCACATGCGTGGTTCCGCCCCCTGCGCCAGCCGAGGCGTAGCTGGCAAGCGGCAGAGACGGAGCAGGCCGACCACCAGCTGGCCCAGCCCAAGGGAGGTAAGGCACCCACCGGAAAAGGGGAAAAAAAATGGCGGACAGCCTTGCTTGGCGACCCCTGTGAAATGGTCGATCGACCCCAAATGGGGTCCCGACCCACAGGTTGAGAACCACTGGTCTAAACGTTTCACTGCCACCTAGCTGTCATTTGGCGTTTTGCAGCCCAGACGTGGTATGTGCACCATTAGAAGAATGCATCCGAAGAGAGTGTTTTGCTTGTTTGTTTTACCTGTAGGTATTCCGCCCATAGGATGTGCAAAGTTGAATTTCCTAAAGGGAGTCGACTCCACAGGACCTAAATAATTGTACAGATTGTTTCAGAGTTATGCCAGAGTCACTGTTCTTGACCTCTATAACTTTTAAGAGTATATAATATAATTTACCCAAATGAAAATCTGAGTGATGGTAATGGTACTCTGAACTTTTAGCCGGCTGATTAAAAAAACAACAAACTCTTCCCAATGGAGCAATCTAGTGGTATAGTAGTGTATATGCAAGATTGACTATTATAGACTCTTGTTTCCAACTCTCTCAGCTTGTAAAAATTCACCAGTTTGGCCATTCTGTGGCAAGTAAGCTTTATTTCCATGTGATTAAAGAGAAAATCTTTACCAAACATAAGTTCATTTGTAAAAGAAAATATAAATGCAATTTTTAAATCACTAAGATAGCCATGCCTGGGCCAGACCACAGTCCCTTCTTACTAGGAGCTTGAATCTTGAATTTCAGTATATTTTCATCTATTCAAATTTGGACTAAGAGTTTGTATTCATCAAGTCAATGATGCAACCATGGGTCTTACATACAAGTGGTTCTCTACTAACAACCACAGATGAGCTCAAAATTTCTGTTGCTAAGTGAGACAGTCAAGTGAGTTTTGCTCCGTTTTATGACCTTTCTTGCCACGGTTGTCAAGTGAACCACTGCGGTTGTTAAGCTAGTAACACAGTTGGAAAGTGAATCTCGCTTCCCCATTGACTTTGCTTGTCAGAAGGCCGCAAAAGGTGATCACATGACTCCAGGATACGGCAACTGTCATAAATATGAACTAGTTGCCAAGCATCTGGATTTTGATCACATGACCACAGCAATGCTACAACAGTCGTAAGCGTGAAAAACAGCCATAAGCCACTTTGTTCACGGCTGTTGTAGCTTCGGACCGTCGCTAAAAAAACCGTCACAGTTAAGTAAGGCAAGGACTACCTGTATATTGTGCTATAATACTTAACAATCTTCAAGCTCATATGGTTGGGCATTCGATTACCCAAAGCTGTATTACAGTGCTACAATAGAACTTGCAAAGAATTTCATGCAGGCCAGTTATTGTAACAATTTAAATTATTGTAAACCTCAGAGGTTAAGATGTTGTTAAAAGTAGCTAAAGCTGGTTAGCTTTATTAGTGTAGGTTGCAGCTGGACTCTTCCCCCCCCCCTTGGCTAATGGATGCTGTTAATGAGCGGACACGATCACGATGCAAACAGAAATAAGCAAGCTTCCAAACTCCCACATTATCTCACTTACCCGTTTCTGTGCTTAAGCTCTGGGAATAGTGATACGGACTGAACGGCTTGGCCTGACTGTGCACGCCGGATTCTGGAACTGGTGGTTTATTGAAATTAAAGTTTGCGGCTGAGGGCGCTCCATAGAGATCTTCTGCACTTAGTACCCTTCTGGGAAGTGGAGCTCCTGCCCCCAAAAACCCATTTGGATCTCTTGCTCCTGATGGTGTTGAGTGCCACGGGTGACTTGAGTGAGCTGTAACGATATTGTTGTGACTAACACTTGCTTCGATGTTTTGAGCTCTCGGGTGAAGCTCTGGTGTCTGAGGTGTGGCTGCGGCTTTGGCAAATGGGTCGTAGGATACCTTTCTCCTCCTCCTCCTACTCTCCTCTTCCTGTATCTCGGCACTAAACGCGGCAGAAGGATTTTCTGGCCTATCCATCCGGCTGCCGTATAAATGGTAATTTAGTTCATCCTGTAATTTTCTTTGCAAGGTTGCTGGAGGTTCAAGGGCATTTTCGCAGCTTTCCACTGGTTCATTTTCTGGATAGGGCGCGAACATGTTTTCATCGATGGTGTTAGCAGTGAAACCTTGAGAACTGTGCAAAGAACCAGGTTGATCTGCAGGGCAGATGAGAGATTTGATTATCAAAGGTTTCATGGGGGGAAAAAATCCAGTCCCTCTGTGGGATACCTTATTGATCAACTCCACTGAATGCAAGATTAAGATCTTAATCCAATACACCCGCCTTCCTCAACCTGGTATCCTTCAGAACACTGGGATTACAACTCCCAATGTTCTGTGCCATCAAGTCCTTTCCCACATTTGGGTAGAAGTTCCACTGAACGTAGTAAGTCTTACTTAGTAAACAGAAATTATATAATCTCTTTGATATTATCCCTACTTCATGGTTCTCCTGCCAGTTCAGTCAGCTTGGCTCAGACTGAGATCTCCAGCACTATCTGCTGTTCTGATGGGTTCTAATTCTGGTCTGTCTTAACCTAGATCTCTGAATAGCATATATTTGCCTTATTATGGAAAAACTCTATTCTCCTTTATAAAGTTTTTGTCACTAGGATAACTCACACACGTTTTGCAGGTAAATGTTTCCTAGCCTGGTTGTACGTGCCTGTTCCCTTATATGCCAGCTCATCAAGAATGATTTGAAGATAAGTCCTTTCCAAGGCAGTACCTCTGAAACCAATGTTTGTGGGGCAAACTGAAAGTGGGCATTTTCAATTAAAATGTCCCAATCTTCTAATTCCTTCTATTTTACGTTTTCATTACAAACTTGGAATGTAACCCTTTCCAGAAATTTTGCTACTGTGATTTCTGATCAAGGCTCAAGATTGTCCTGTATCATGATTTACAAGCTATCGGTGGCTGTATGTATGTTATTTTTTAGAGTGTTTGTTGACTTGTTTGTGATTTAATTGGTGGCTGGGCATTGAGTCAGTGCCCCAAAGGCCCTTTCCTTATATCTGTTAACCTGATTCTTTTCCCAGGTGGACACCTTGAAGTGCGGGCCTGTTGGTTGGGTAACAGCAGCCTTTGTAAGATGTAACAATAAAACACATTTCTTTTCTTTTTTAAAAAAAGGATTGAAAGTACAGTAGCAGCTAATGCAAAGCTGGAGCTCCTTCCCACCTTGTCAGGTGCATTTTGTTCCAGTTGCAGATTTGGGGAGGGGGGGGGTAGAAAATGCAAAGCAGTCACAGTGGTGTTACATAGGAACTTTTTATCTAGTAACATTAGTAAACACAGAGATTCCTGCCAGTCAGTCAGAGGCTCTGAATGATAGTAACCTATGATGAAGGATAAGAATAATAATTTTAAAAGCTCTGGGTGACTCCTCAGTGAAACTGCAGCTGCATAATGCAGAGTCCCTACCTCATTCTAGTCGGAAATAGTAAAAGTAGTGAATTCTGCACCAAAATTGCTCCTTCTCTCTCTCTGTGTGAGTACAGTCATCACGTAGTTTGCAAGCGTTCTGATTGCTGAAGGGAATATGATCAACCCTGAATTTGTGATTTCAGTAGTTACGAATCTGCTAGAGATTTTGCACCTGTTCAGAGTCCATGGCATTATGAGAAAATAGGGATGATCAAAATATGAGTCATTAAGCAACACAATCCAGCCTGTGCATGGACTTTATCTTCTACTGAACTTTTTCTTTAAGAATCCACCATGACAGAAATGTGCCGTGTAAAATAAAACAAAAGGAGAGGCTTTACTGGAGGAATCATCTGATAGGACAGTGATGGCGAACCTTTTAGAGACTGAGTGTCCAAACTGCAACCCAAAACCCACTTATTTATCGCAAAATGCCAGAGCTGCATCAGGATTGTGGTGCTCTCAGGGGGGGCGGGGGACGTGGCCCACTGGGTGGGTGTGGCTGCTGTGGTCACGCCAGACTGAATGAGTGTGGCCGGGGCCAAGGTGGTGTGGGCCAGTCCCTTGCCATCTTTGGGGCATCCCTGGAGGGCCAACGCCACTTGCTCACTCACTTCCTGCCCTGTCGCTTCCAAACACCACGTGCTCGCTACTCTGGTGAACTCTGCTGGGGCAACGGCGCACGTGCCCACAGAGAGGGCTCTAAGTGCCGCCTCTGGCACACGTACCATAGGTTCGCCACCACTGTGATAGGAGGTCTGATTAGCATCCTTTACAATCCTGTAGCTTCAGAAATATTCATTTTTCTAGACATGAATTTCTAATATAGTTTTAGTTGAAAAGCCCTGGCTGATTATCAGGCACCATTACCTCTGGAATCTGTTGGACCAGCAATAGTGTAAATTGGGTATAAATAAAATAAAATACCTGATCGAGCTCTGCTGGGAGGTTCTGACATAGCATCCACTTGGAGAGATTCCATCCGTTTTACAAGTTCGATTGGTTCAGGATATATTTCCTATTATACAGAACAAGTATAACAGAAGGTGATGAAATTGTAGGAAGTATTTAATAGGAATACACAATAGGGTACCTTAGAAAGGTAACCCTGATGGACTGTAAGCTACGTGTTGGATAACTTACTTTTAATTTTCTTACATGGTCTTCCACCTCCTCTTCAAAGTTTTTATAGTAATATGGTTTGTAAATCAAATTTATTTCTACAATAAAAAAATTAATGAAATAATTGTAATAAAAATCAATAACACCATCACTAGAAATGAGCTGTAACAATGTTAATTTAAGTTTGCACATAATTCTAAGTTATGATTAGAATTAGAATTGCTTTAGACTAGCATTGCCCTTGAGTTCTGTAAAATAAAAGTTCTAGTATGTAGTTTTCTCTAAATTATTTTAGTAGTAATGGTTACAGAAATGATAATCGGCCTGGCTATAATAATAGATTCTGTGATATATACAACTATGCTTAATATCCAGATTTAGCCAGACACATGCTATGTATTTGTAAAATTGAAATCAAAATGTCTCTATATAATTATTCAGGGATGGGTGGATCAATGCATATGCGAAAGTTCCTTGTAGGAAAACTCTTCACTTATTCCCCAAAAATAGATTAAATAGGAATGGAACGAGAAAAACAAAGTCACTGGACATACTTTGTTATGTAAATTCTTATTTTTTGAGCTTTTAGAAGAAGTAATCAATGTATCTAGAATTCTCATTATGTTATTAGGTTGCATTAAAGTTCCTACATGTAGTTTTCAAACTATGTTATATATGCGAGAGATGATCTTACAATATGGTGGAGAAATTATTTAGATAATTTATGATGTGTGAGATTTGATATAATGCATGAAAACCAGCTCTCTCCCAGATTTCAGAAATCAGGAAATCTATATAATTCCTTTCCACTAAGTTTTTAGGAGATAAGTGAAGTCTCTTTCAGTTCTAGTTCAGAAAGCCTTTGAGCTCTTGATGCCTGTATTGTTTATTTTAATGTGTACAGTGAAATGTTGTGCTGCATGAATCACAAGGCTGTATAAAGTACGGGAGAGTTCCATGTGCACCTTGCCTTGTTTCATTCTACTGCTTACAGAAATCTATCCATATTTTCTTGATGTCCATTTGTGTACTACCATTATCTTTTTGGCTTTCTATAAATAATTAGCAGAAGTATCTTGTATTACCTGCAAAGGTTGGGCGATCATTTGGCTGTTGCTGCCAAGAGCGTTCCATTAAAGTAATAATCTCATTTGGACAACTGTCTTCCACCTCTCTGATAGGTGGTCTGTTGCCTGCTGTGATGCAATAGCACAGTTGGGTATCAGTGACAGCATCTGGATGAGAAAGAGAGAGAAGAATTGAGCGTCAGTAACATGAAGCTGACTACATGCAGCACAATGTTTTATAATGTAGAGATATTTGATCATCAACTCATACTCTCATAAGGTTCTTTGGCAGCAAAAATGGCCCATAAAACGATGCCAAAACTGTACACATCTGATTTCTCCACAGGCATTGCGTTGATGTCCTGCAGATGTTCCGGGGCCATGTAGGAAAGGGTGCCAGCGTTACTCTTGGAATTCTGTTTGATTTTCCTCTGTCGACTGGTCTCTTCTTTAGTCAGCCTGCTCCAGTTTTTGAAACAAGCCACACCAAGGTCTGCTATCTACAAGACAGATGAGAGAAGAGTTTTGGGAAGAAGAAGAAGGGAAAGGAGAAAGGTCCACAGGGGGGCAGAATGATCTATCCATTTTGTGCTTGTGTCAAAATATGGCACGCACATATAAATGAACTGGAACTTTTATTGCAACGAGTGGCATGCTCAGAACATGGCCCGGCTGGAAGCAAAAAAGACTCTGACAGGTGACATGCTTACTTGTATTGAGTGTTTCTAATATATTTTGATATGTCATCAAATATGGTAGGTTTCTCTGACCAGCAAAGCAAAAGTAATATTCCGATGCAAAGAAATTGGAAAAGCTTGCAGTACCATAGGAATATGGTTTAGACCAGGGATTCCCAACCCGTGCCAGAAACTGGGCCACGCAAACAAGCGAAATCCCATTTGTGGGATGCAAGCAGTGCGCAAAACCACACTCTCTGGTCCACGGAACCAGTCCCTCATGTACAAAAGGTTGGTGTCCACTGGTTTAGACTAACTTCTGGGGGACACACGGTGACCTGAAGACATCTGTGCGAAAGCAGACCAAAGACTGCGGCAGAGATTCAACAATGGTGAGTACACCATTCTTTGGAACCTCTCCAAATATGGAAAGGAAGAGACATCACCCACATGTGCGCCAGATAGCTGCTTCTTGTAACAGCAGTCTCCTACTGGTTTAAACACAGAAAATGCTTAAGCATTGGAATAGCCTATTAACCATATTAAAGCTATTAGGAACCTTCAGAATAAGTTTAAAAAGTAAATAGTTGAGTTTAGCTTCAACCCTGAACAAAAGAAAAATTACAAGATTAAGAACTTAAATAATTTGAAATAAACAGCAGAAAGCTAAATAAGAAAGTTATACATGGATTAAGATTCCAGATAAATTTGGAATATTGACTTTTGCTATAAGACTTTGGTATTCATTATAAAAAGTAAATAGCTTCTTGTGGGAACCATGGTTATTTTGGCTATCTTGGCTCATAACAACTCCGATTTTAGAAACTGGACACTGAAGGGCGCTAAAGATTCAAAGTAGAAGGGGAAAAAAAATATAAGCCAGCTTTTTGGTGTCAGTTATTGGGACTTACAAAATTACACAAAATGTCACAACACTGAAAATATTAAAGGAGATCTTTGAAAAATGGAGCCAATTGGTTCTTGTTATCTCTTCTCTCCTACTGAGCTCCTGTGTATAATGGTCAGAAGTGTGTAATTCAGATCAGAGTTCCCCAATGTTTCCGGCTTTGTGGACCGGCGGGGGGGACAGAGGGGATGGTTCTATGCGAGCGTGCAGTTCCATTTGCACGAGCGGTGTGCACGCACGCTTGCCACTCACTTAAATGGAGTGTGCGCTCGCAGGCTGTTTCCACAGCCCGGTTGCAAACTCCCCACAGCCCACAGGTTGGGGATCCCTGATTTAGACGGCCCTTGCTGTAATTTTGTTGAACTGCTTTTTAACCTTATGATTGGACTGCCACTGGCTTCTTTCTTTCTGAACAAGACAGTCATTAAGTCAGAACTGTTTTTGTCTTTTGATTCATGCTTTTAAAAACAATAAAATAGAATTACAATGACATATAATCTAACAGCATTTGGCCTCCACGTGATCCCCAACCTCTTTCGCATAGTCCATAGGCCCTGACGACTGTGTGGCTGAAAATCCCCCGTCTTCTGGTGCTATTTTAATCTTGCCCGATGTAATCCTCACTTGTGAAACTCTTAAAAATTAATATCCCCAGGTCATCAAAAATGCTGCTGACCTGGCCACAGGAAGAAGCTGATCTGGTAGAATGTAAATCCAGATCAACAGTAAAAGCTGAAAAGCTATGATGGTGGCTCTTGTTGTGACCAGTAATTCATGTTCTTAGTCCCATTCTAGAAACCCTGTAAAATATTCCAAAAAGTCATTTGAAGAAGTATGCAAATTAACATTACTATAGTTTTTTTCCTCTTCCATCCTAGTTCTTTTTCCTTTAAAGTCATACCTCTTAACAGAGGTGGCAAGTGATTCTCAGCTCCCCTTTTGGTAGCCATGGAACCACCATGGAACGTGGTTCCACCATGGAACCACCATGGAACTGCTGAAAACTGGGAGAAATGGTTGAGAAATTTGGCGCAAACCCTAAATAAGCCACAGTTCACTTGTAAAGAAAATCCTTAAAAAACTGGCTTCCCTACTAACATTCTAAAAGCTATGCTCAAGTTGGGATTCAGCACGTTGCGATTTTAGATTTTAAGCCTAGAATATGCAACCTGGTATTATCCAGATATATTGGTTTCTCCTTCCAACCAGCACAATCAGTAGCAAAATGTCAAGAGCATTAAAATCTAGATATCTGGAGGCCCTCAGGATGCAACATCATGCATTCTGAGATCCTCACTCTCTCCCACCCAGCCTGGAGTGAGTTTTCTGTGTGAAGAAAGTCTTTTGCATACCTCCTGGCATCTTTCCCTTTGCCCAATACAAAAAAAAAGTGAAATGACATTGCAGGAAGGCAAAGAGTAAATACGGTAGAGCGAGAAAGGAAAATTGAGTTCCTGTACCACAAATCCATCTAGGGCAGTGGTTCTCAACCTGTGGGTCGGGACCCCATTTGGGGTCAATCGACCATTTCACGGGGATCACCAAGCAAGGCTGTCCGCCATTTTTTTTGTCCGCCATTTTTTCCCCTTTTCCGGCGGGTGCCTTACCTCCCTTGGGCTGGGCCAGCTGGTGGTCGGCCTGCTCCGTCTCTGCCGCTTGCCAGCTACGCCTCGGCCAGCGCAGGGGGCGGAACCACGCATGCGCGGTGCTCCTGGGCAGGGAAAGTCCTCGACTTACAACCGGTTGGGGTCGCAGCATTAAAAAGGTTGAGAACCACTGATCTAGGGAAAGCTTAAGCCATCCCACTCAGCCCTTTATAGCCTAACAGACAAGCATACATTTAATAAACACTTGTGGTTCTGATTTTACTAGAAACTGAAAATGTGCCTGTGTGTTCCTGTTACCTTGATGTGAAAATTTTCATCCACAAGAATATTTTCTGGCTTCAGATCCTTGTGCACTAAACCTTGTTCTGTTAGGTAAAGCATTCCTTCAATGGTCTCCAGAACAAAGCGTCCTTTCACAGGCAAAAATATAGGAGTCTGTAAGGAAAAAGAAAAAGCATTTCCAGAAAAATATTGATTACGTTCAGTCTACATATCTATAAAAGTGAATTTACCAGGTCAGATAGCAGGCCATAAAACAATTCCCGAGTTATGCAGATCCATTAATACAGGACATTGGCTAGGCATGATGGATGTTCTAATCCAACACATCTGGAGGGCATTCACTTGGGGAAAGGTTTTCAGTGGATTATTCTTTGAGTTATCAATATACTTCCTACTTACTGCTTTTAGAACAGACATCAAGTCTCCTTTGCGTATGTATTCAATCACAAGGGAGTAATTTCCATCTTCCAGGATGACACCCAGTAGTTTTACCACCCGATCGTGATTTAGTTTATGCATGATCATGCCTTCCTCTAGAAGGGAAGTGTTACATCTGGAAAATAAATGCTATAGGGTTATTAAGAGAACTAGGGACCTAACATTCTAAAATCTATGCTCAAGTTGCGCTTTTTAGACATTTAAGCCTGGAATAGGAAACCTGGTATTTTCCAAATATATTGGTTTCTCCTTCCAGCCAGCACAATCAGTAGCAAGACGTCAAGAACATTATAGTCTAGAACAGGGGTGTCAAACTGCCGGCCCGCAGGCCGGATGCATCATAGCGAAACTGCGCCCACCCCATTGCCGCCAATGGCAAAAAAAGTCATTATGCGTCGTGACACGTCACATGACATTGCGAGTTTGACACCCCTGGTCTAGAATATCTGGAGGCCACTAGGATACCTAATCCTAATTTAGTTTTATTCATCTGAACTTGCTGAAATGATGGGTCGAATTATGATGATAACAGGCACAGCTAAACACAAGCCATAATCCCTAGTGCCACCAGGTCTGTTGCACTACAGATCTGGCAAACCTTAAATCAACTGTGATGTTTTGAGATGAACACACCTGAAGTATACCACATTGCAGAAAACTGGTATAATGAAACTGCAATCCCTGCAGGTGAATGAATGAGAAGTGATCTTGCATATGAATGGCAATTCCTATTATTGCCAGTGGAGTATTTTATTGTTTTCATGGTATCAGGAATACTCAAGTACTCAAGTTCGTTCTTTTTGGCTTTTCCATTACCTCTTACATTTCAATAAGTATCTGGGTCTGGAGAAAAGCTGCATTTTAATCTCCACAGTACATTAGTACAGGACCTTATAGGACAGTGGTGGTGAACCTATGGCACGTGTGCCAGAGGCGGCATTCAGAGCCCTCTCTGTGGGCACGCGCACCATGCCCCTGAGATGGCAACCGTCCCTCTTCAACCAGCTGCCCACTAACTCATCGAGGTCCCAAATGGCCGGATGCATCCCAGCACGACTGGTTTCCCTCCCCCCCGTCCCATCCCTCCTGGCTTCGCATGGTCTCCTTTTCCTGGGCATGACCCACTGCATCGCCTCCTCAGCTGTTGGCCAGCCGTCCAGCTCAGAGGCGGCTTCTCTGAACTGCTGGTGGCGGGCTGCGAAGCCCCAGAATGTGCCGGTCGAGGGGCTGGCAGGCTGTGGCTGCTGACGGACATTGTCGGCCCCCATGCGCTGGCTGTCCTGTGTGTGGGGGCTGATGGTGTCAGGCAGCAGCCACCCTGGCCCCTGCCTCGCCTTGCCCCATGACAATGGCACCCCCACCCTGCCTCGTCTCACCATGCAGGACGAGCCTCCTGCCCCACCTGCCAGATCCACCTGGATCTCCCCCAACGCTGCCCGGCCCCACAGGCGTCTCTCCCCACGAGCAACATCAAGGTGACCACGCCTACCTTGGCCACACCCACCCAGCCTGCCATGACCACCATGGCCATGCCCACCCAGTAGGCCACACCCATCTGGCACTTGGCGATACATAAGTGGGTTTTGGGTTGCAGTTTGGGCACTCGGTCTCTAAAAGGTTCGCCACCACTGTTATAGGAAGTTAAAATGTCTCCTACCATTGGCATCATGTAAAGGAAAAAAAGGACCCTTTGAAATATATGGGGGTGATCATAGGCAGATACCTGAAGGAACCCCTCAGGTGGTGCCTTTTGTAGAGCCAGGAGTAATGAACCACTTGCAGTAGAAATGAGCTGAAAGGCTGCAAGATCAAAAATCACAGCAGCTACTTCCTCTGTGATTCTGAGTTCAATGAGACTTAAATTGTGTAACGTATTGTTAGCTGCAGGAGAATAGGGCAAGAGCCCTTGTGGTCCTGCTTGCACACTTTTCTCAAGACAAATCTGGTTTGTCTGGGAGAAGCCAAATGCTGGATAAGATAGAGCAACAGTTTGATTTAGCTGGGTTCCTTTTACATTCTTATTATATACCACTGGGAAAATCTTGCTTTAGTAATAATCTCTGGTAATCAAATCTTTAAAAATATACAAGAAGAACAAATTCAGCCATAAGACCAGCTAATCTGGTTTGAAATTACCAGGGCGCTAATGGCCAACCATTATGTCCTGCCCTCTCCTGTCTGTGAAGAACATTTCTCCAACTTACTCTGTGCGTTTAGGTCCAGTATACACAGTTTTTAATACTACAAGCCCATAATTTTTGTGGTAGCATAATGAGACTGTTCCAAAACCGCCAGCATTCAGCTGGTTTTTTTCCAAAAAGTCCTCCGATTTCATCTGGATGTCAGCCAAGGCCATGATCGCGGTTCACAGAGCACTTTAATTCAGGAAAAAAATCCAATGCCTGAAATGTTAATACAGAAGAGAAAGTATTTTATGATCCGTCCTTCCATTCCCACTCTAAATTCTGGACAAAGCGGGTACTTTTGTAACCTTCTAAAAAGTTCAGAAGATGACTTCACCTTCTGCACACCAATGCATATTCAGAAGTAAATCTACAAATATTCAACGGTACATACTTAGGAACGAAACCCCAAAATAAGTTTGAATTCCTTTCGCTGTCTCAGTCAGAGGTTGGCATCCTTGGCATCCTCCAGATCAGTGGTTCTCAACCTGTGGGTCGGGACCCCATTTGGGGTCGATCGACCATTTCATGGGGGTCGCCAAGCAAGGCTGTCCGCCATTTTTTTTGTCCGCCATTTTTTTTGTCCACCATTTTTTTTCCCCTTTTCCGGCGGGTGCCTTACCTCCCTTGGACTGGGCCAGCTGGTGGTCGGCCTGCTCTGTCTCTGCCGCTTGCCAGCTACGCCTCGGCCGGCGCAGGGGGCGGAACCACGCATGCGCGGCACTCCCGGGCAGGGAAAGTCCTCGACTTACGACCGGTTGGGTAGTCCTCGACTTACGACCGGTTTAGTCCTCGACTTACGACCGGTTTAGTCCTCGACTTATGACCGGTTGGGGTCGCGGCATTAAAAAGGTTGAGAACCACTGCTCCAGATGTTTTGGACCTCACTCTAACATGGTGGTACTATAATTGATGGAAATTATAACCCAAAATATGCAAAGAGCAATCAACAGTCTACTCCCTAATCTAAAGAGGTAAACTGATCATATATTTTTTTAAAAAATAGATGGCCAAATTTTTCAGCATAGCAACTGGATTACCTACTCTCCAAATTAGCCAGGGAAGCATTCTGCATGGATGATGTCAAGGTTCCGACTAATGAAACAGTTCAAAGAACTTCCAGGCATTGTTTATTTTGAAAAGTCTCTATTTTGTGTAACAGAATGTCGGCAAGCCATGAATGGGATGCCAAGATCTGAAATCTCCTCCCCTGAGCAGTTATTTTGCTAGCATTTTCCCTCCCTTATTTTGCGTTCACTTCCCCCCCCCCAGTAATTACTCTCTACACACATTCTTTCTCCTCCCCTTACAGCATCCTCTAAGTTAACTCTAAAAATACCAGACAGTTCTGCATATTTTGTCAAAGCAAGAAAATCCAATATTAGCAGTGTTGACAGATGATGCATATCATTATAATGAATTTACACATTAGTGTTCATGACTATGAAGATTCTCAGCTCATGGGTATCCCAAAGGTTCTGTTCAAAAGGCTACTGGACTTTCTTGGTTTTTTTTTTCTTGCAAATGTTTCACTTCTCATCCAAGAAGCTTCTTCAGTTCTAAACTTCTTGAATTTGAAGCAAAACGTTTTCAAGGAAAAAAAACCAAGAAAGTCCAGTTGCCTTTTGAACAATCCCTTTTGGGACATGAATGTTCAGTAAGTCTAGAAGAGTTCATATAAACACAAACAAAATCAGGAAAAAAGGGAAATAATTTTTTTGAAAAAAACACCACCATAGTTTTTAAAAACCCATCATGAAGATGGTAGCAAAAACACATAAGCAAGCTGGCTCAGCTGGAAGACACCTCTTCTACAAAGGCTCAGTGGTTGCTGAAGAATCCAACTGAAGAATCCAATGCTATAGAGGGCTCTTGCATAAAGCCTTCTTTTGTGGCATCTCAAAACCATCTCCTTGGCCACTGCAGCACTAAATAATAGACTAGATGGAGTTTTTACCATTTTGAGGAAATTGCCTTATTAAATTAAATTTCTTCATTAAATTAGATGTCTTCCAACTGTCTAGAGCAGACATGTCAAACTTGCGACGTCACATGACGTCGTGCAACGTATCGAGACCGGCAATGGGGTGGGTGTGGCTTCCGTGTGACGCGTCCGGCTTGCGGGCTGGCAGTTTGACACCCCTGGTCTAGAGTTTAGACCAGAGGTCTTCAAACATGGCCCTTTTATGACTTGTGGACTTCAACTCCCAAAATTCCTCAGCCAGCGTGCCTAGCTGAGGAATTTTGGGAGTTGAAGTCCACAAGTCATAAAAGGGCCAAATTTGAAGACTCCCTGGTTTAGACAGATATTTTTTCAAAGATGCCAAGGATTGAATCTTGGACATTTCCCTTATGTAGAAAGCTTGTGGTGATCTATCAGAGACATCTCTTTCCCTGCAGCACCATCTAAAAGAAATCAGCATGCTTCAGAAAAGTTTGAGAAGAGATGGCACAGAATGCAGAGAATCACAGCATCCCCCTTTTTGAAATTTCAACAGATTAGGCTCCACACATAATTCACGAAGGGTTGCTTCAGAGTATGGGAAAAACACTCTAAAATGGGTGCTTTAAGAAGCATGGTCTGGAATTCAGCACCAACATTTTAAATAATGTTAAATAATGTTACATGATAATGCTTCTGAAGGCTCAACCGATGTAGGAGCTGACAAAAAGAAGAGATGGGATGTGTATCAGGAGGCATGAAAAACCATACAATTGCACTATTCTAGGCATGAACCTAGCACGCAAATCAGGATACCTGCCAATACAGTAGAGTAACAGAAATCCAGGCAGAACACAACTAATGCATGGACAAATTGCATATCTGTGGAATAAGATATGAACAAATTCTCCAAATTAATTTAGTGTATGGCAAAAATGTTAAAAAGCACACCACGATTACATTCTCAGTGAGTAAAAGATATTTAGAAGGAGACATCATATACTGGTACATCTTATTTGCCAGCAGAACACTAGGTACACACACTGAAAAGTTTGGTATGTAAAGGAGGGGACTCAGAATGATAAGACTGAATTTAATTTGTCTATAGAAGGTGCTTATATGGAAGTGAAGTGATGTTTTCGTGTGTCTGCTCATGACTCCTTTTACTCTGTTGCCTTGTTTTATTTTTTTAAATAAAAAAAAAATCATTCATTTTATTTATAAACCCCTTTGGAGCTCTTGAGTCAAAAAGATAGAATAGAATGCTGGCATTAATTTAGCATTTCCAGATTTTGCTTTTAGAGCAGTGTTTCTCAACCTTGACCATTTTAAGGCATGTGGACTTCAACTCCCAGAATTCCACAGCCAGCATTGCTGGCTGTGGAATTCTGGGAGTTGAAGTCCACATGCCTTAAAATGGTCAAGGTTGAGAAACACTGTATTTAGAGGCAATTCCTAGAACTGCCTACCTAAAGACATTGGGCTACACTTATAAAATTTCTCCCTTAACAGATTCTGTTTGAAAGGTGTCAGATGTGATGAGGAAAATAGATTTAGTTAAGGGGAGGGCACATTCCTCCTAAAATTCTAGGCGTAAGGAAGGGAGATTGTGTAATGAGTCTTTCCTGGAAGCACCTAATTTCTGATAACGTTGACTGCAGTTAAACCCACAAATCCGGAAGGGCATTAGGTTGCTTTTTCTTTTTGCTAGCCTTTCAAAGCCTATTTTGGTTTTCAGATCTGCGAAGTCAGTTCAGTTCCTTTTTTTCTCAGACGCGCACACTCACATACGGGCCCCGCGCGTCATCACAACTTCAGAGGCATAAAAAGAAGCGGAGAGCGCAAGAGCTTTTTGCGAACTTTTTAAGATCTATGGATTTCAACTCCCAAAATTGCCCCAGCCGTCTGTCCCGTTAAAATCCGCATATTTTAAAAGTGATTGACGTTGAGAAACGCTGGCTTTGGACTGCAAACGGGAAAGAAAAAGGTTACATCGCGGACTTGGTAGCTGGGCGGAAGGGCTGGTCCAAAGGCTAAAAAGTCGAGCTGTTTTCGGTTTCATTTTCGACTTTCCCGCCTCCCAGTTTCCCCCTTCCTCCCCGGATCATTAAGGAAATCAACCGCGCGTGATTAACATCCCAAGAGCAAATAAAGGCCATGGCTCTCTCCATCCCCTTTAAGAGCGAGCGACCCATCCTTAATAGTATTTTCTCTCCATCGGATGCGGGGAAAAGTAGGAAGAAATGCGCGCGGGGGGGGGGGGACTTCAGAATCGTGATTTCTTCGGGTTAAACAGAGACTTGGGGAAAACGGACCCGATTCCCTTTTACCTATTATCCTCCAAAGCTGGGTTCACACGTTTGCGCGCTCCGGAAGGTTGGGGCTCCCTTCTTGCTAAATACACCACCGCTCGGAAAGCGCCCCTTTCCCTGTTTCTTCCTTCTTCGCCGAACTCTTTCGGGGCGGAGTTAGGCGGTGACAAAACAGGACGGAAGCTCCCTTCAGCCTATGAAACACACATGATCCGCAGAGGGTTCACTTGGGACACGTGAAGCCTCGTAGTTGTCAGGCCCAGGCTTCGGAAGCCAGAGGTTCTGATCCAGAACGTCAAATCAAACCAAAACTTTATTAGGGTCAGAAGATCAGTATTAAAAAAAAAAAAAAAGAACAGCTACAAAATGAAAATACGAAGCTAAAAAGAAAGAAAATTAGTACAAATGTTCAGATCTCGGGATGGAGGCAGAAAACTGGGCAATCTGGAAAGCTTTATCCAAACATCAATCAGATAAAGCAGTGGTTCTCAACCTTTTTAATGCCGCGACCCCAACCGGTCGTAAGTCGAGGACTAAACCGGTCGTAAGTCGAGGACTACCCAACCGGTCGTAAGTCGAGGACTTTCCCTGCCCGGGAGCGCCGCGCATGCGTGGTTCCGCCCCCTGCGCCGGCCGAGGCGTAGCTGGCAAGCGGCAGAGACCGAGCAGGCTGACAACCAGCTGGCCCAGCCCAAGGGAGGTAAGGCACCCGCTGGAAAAGGGGGGAAAAAACGGCGGACAAAAAAAATGGCAGACAGCGTTGCTTGGCGACCCCCATGAAATGGTCGATCGACCCCAAATGGGGTCCCGACCCACAGGTTGAGAACCACTGAGATAAAGAATGATAAATAGCAGACATGTTCCCTACCAGAAAATTCCTTCATGATAGATAAATATGGCTCAGAGACTCCCCTGAACCATCCCTAAAAGGACAGATACGCTGATAAAGAGTACACTGAAGTTTAAAATATAATACCAAGTTCTAACATCGATGGAGTCCAAGCCAATCTCTAAACAAAGGGGACATTTTTAGTGCATGTCGGGACTGCAGGGATAGATGAGATGGCTTCATGGATGTTAGGGTTTCTGAAAGGACAGCATAGAAGAGCTGGGAGTTGACCTAGGCTAGGTAGACCTTGCAAGATGCAGGTGGGCCTTGTGTTTGACAAGTCTGTTTTAGAGAGTAGTTGAGGCCACCTGGAGGTTTATCTGGTCATCAGAGTCACCTGAGTAGTGCAAATGGGTGTGGAGCCTTCTTGGAAGGGATGAAAGGACTGTGTTGTAGATTGGAGACAGATGATGTCGTATCCCTCCCCCTTCCCCCGTTGAGAGAGGGCTGCTCAATTTTGACATAGACGGTCTCTTTGACCCTTCTTTCAAACCAGTGGTCCTCTCTGTCCAAAATGTGGACTTTGCTGTTTTCGAAAGACCTGGATGACTGAGAATCTCCATAGACATTAAGCCCTTGAATAGCAAATCGTGGCATTTATAAGTATACACCTCTCAATATATTCCCATTAATTTGCCAGTTACGAATGTCATGCTACTTTTATACAAATATCAGGACTTCAGTTTTCTGACAATGTATTACTAGTTTTCATTCTGAATCGAACAAAACCAAAGCTCTCCATTTCTTTCCTATTCCCACTTAGGAGAGAGACACATTTAAGTTCCCGCTTATAGAAGAGCTGGATCCACTTGCCCTGCTAATAAAGGGGAGGGATGAGTGGGGAAACAAAGGACTGGGATTATTGAGTTGGTATTTTGGTTAAAAGGTTAAAAGGGGCTCAAATGCCTTGCTGGCCATGTTGTGTCCAGGAACTGCACCTTTTACACCCTTGGATTGGAGAAAAATAATGCAATTTAAGAAGGGATTGACAAATATTATTTCTGCAAAACAGTGTGGTGTTTATTTACTTATATAGGTTAGGTATTTAAATATAATTCTCATTTAATGATCACTCATTTAGCAAATATTTGAAGTTACGATGACACTGAATGAGTCATATTTATGATAGGACCTCATAGTTGTCATCATAGTGTCACCATGGTCAAGTGAATGTGATTTGAATGCTTGTTGACAAGGTCATACTTATGATTGTCACAGAATCCTACAGTCACATTATCACCATTTGTGACTTTCACTGTTGGCTTCGGATAAGCAAAGTCAATAAGGAAGCTTGCAGGATGGGAACCATACAATGTCACATTTAATGACATTGTGGGACTTTCTTAATGATGGTAATTCGGAGTGTCAGAACTGTTGTCACTGAGCTGCGTGGTCACATGATGTCTTGCTTTGTGAACACATTGGTTAGTGATAGAATTTTTGGTTCCAAATCCTGTCACTAAGTAAAGACTACCTGTAATAAGGATAACAAAGGGGTAACAATGACTTCCAGCTGTACTTTGTCTTAAGGGGATTCCTTCCAGCTGCTTTTTCCTATCCTAGAACCAGTAAGAATTAATTCATTGATTCCTTCTCAGGTCTTTGGGAAGGACTCAGTGTGGATAAAAATGTCAAATCCATTCTAAATAGCTGGCTGACACAATAATAATTCGCTTGGCAATTTGAAGTGCAAGAGTGACATCATGTGGTTCATTCAAAGACTCACATTGTCTTGACATTTGCTAAATGGAACTAAATTGATGAAAAGTGAAAATCTCTGTTCCCATCACTTCTAATCTTAGTCTGGTATTTGAACAATGAGCATTTTTCAGAATTGTTCAGAAGGAGAAAAGGGAAAAAAGAGAGAAACTAATACAAATGCTCAGCTAGAGGAAGCCTGGATATTAATAACAATGATCATATCTGCTCATAACTGAAGCAGGAAGAGGCAGGAAAGAGTACTTTGAAGCTCCAAGGAACAGAAAACCAAGTCAATGGTAGAGTCTCTAGTACAGGTAGTCCTCAACTTACGACCACAATTGAGCCCAAAATTTCTGCTGCTAAGTGAAACATTTGTTAAGTGTGTTTTGCCCCATTTTACGACTTTTCTTGCCACAGTTGTTAAGTGAATCACTGCAGTTGGTAAATTAGTAATATGGCTGTTAAGTGAAATTGATTTCCCCATTGACTTTGCTCGTCAGAAAGTTGCAAAAGGTGATCACATGACCCCGGGACACTGCAACCGTCATAAATATGAGTCAGTTGCCAAAGTCTGAATTTTGTTCACATGTACATGGGGATGCTGCCATGGTCATAAATGTGAAAAATGGTCATGTCATTTTTGTCAGTAACATTGTAACTATGAACGGTCGGTAAATGAACTATTGTAAGTCGAGGACTACCTGTATGTATGCAACATTGCACCAGGTATGAATAACACAAAGAAGGAATTGAAAATCCTATTAGAGGAAAGCACTAAAAGATAATTAGATACCATGAAAGTCTAATGGGGTGAGTTTCCTGATTAGAATATTAAACTTAAGACTTTTTATTAGTTCAAAATAAAAAAAAACCAAAAATAGAGAGGCTGGGCAGTCTTTTATATAAAGAAGCCACATGTCCATAAAGAACTTAATGTGCCTAAAACTGGACCTCCATTAAAATTAACAGGAAAAAGAGAGAAAATGTGACTGTAAGTTTTATACAAGTCTCTCTTCTCTAGACAATCGGACAATCCCTTTCTAAATCAATTCACAAATATCCTGGTATCTTCTTACTCATTTATGCACTGGTAATCCAAGAGGTATATGACCAGGGCTTTTTTTCTCATAGAACGCCCAGAACGGAGTTCCGGCACCTTTTTTGGATGGAACCTTGTAGAAGAAACTGGACAGCCATTTGTCTGAAATGGTATAGGGGGGTTGGACTAGATGACCTCCAAGGTCCCGTCCAACTTTATCATTATTATTATTATTAGTTCTGGCACTTTTTTTTTTTTTTAACAAAAAAAGCACTGTATATGACAATTTCAGAATGCAAAAAAAGAAACTCACCAAATCCTAATCAATGGAAAGCAATTCATGCACTGTCTGAAAATGTCAGGCATTTCAGGGGACAGCAATCATGTCACGTTGGAGTCCCAAATGACTAGGGGACAAAAAGTTAACAGAAGTCACTCCTTTCTCTGGACTTCAGAATGGTTTCAATACATTCAGGTGAAAGTTCGGCACTGTATCATGGCTTGAAATCCTGAAGAAGAAACAAGTGGACGGCCATGGGGAGGCAAGGGGAGATCCTGTTCTAAATTTCAAAGGCTTTCTCTGCATCTGAAAAACTCAATGCAGCTCGTTTTTTATTACGTTGTTCCAAATTTTCCAAAATGCTCAGCACATTTTTCTTTTCTAACATCGTCCTTTAACTGTCTTTTATGTAAAAACCCACAAGGATACTCATAAATGAATTCTTGCAAAATTATTTTCAGTCTTTCAGCTGGAATCATTGTGAACAAGAGTTATAAGATAGAATTTGTTGTGTTTCGTAAAGATTTTTGAAAGTTTATCCTCAAAACATTTGTAATTATAATGATAATTTATTTGATCCAGACACCTTTCCTGGAGTGTTTTTATAATTCCCACAACTTCCTTTTTTGTTAATAAATTTATTCATAATTTTCGTAACTTCCAAAATTTCCCTTATAGTCATAAGTTCATTCATAAACTTTCTTCCTCTGTAATGCTTTGTAGAATTTTCTGCAAAGAAATAACACATTCTTTATAAAAATTGGAATACTGATGAAATGTTTTTTTGCATAGCCGCATTATCCATTAATACAGTATCTCTGTTTTGAAGTTTCAGCATCATTTTATTTTTCTTTTCTAGTTTATATGGCAACCATTTCTCTTTCTTTTTTGCAAAGTCAAAGGTTGGGATTTTCCCTGCCATACAAATTTAGAATTGCCCTACAAATTTAGATTTGCCTTTTGCCATTGTTTAATGGTGCATCAGTTGTCAAAATAGGTATTGTTTGAAACAAAAATAACATTCTAGGTAAAACATTCAACTTAATCACAGAAATTCCTCTCAGTAATGAACATTTTATTTTCTCTTAATGTATTTTTTTAAAAATTTCATTCCATGTCTTAAGATAACTATTTTGGAATAATATACAATTCATATTTGTCATAGTGATATTCAACTTTTCTGCCTTTTTCTCAATCTTAAAGCCTATTTTATCAATTTTGTTTGATCTTGTATTTTCATATTTTTGTTAACATCTATGATTATTATTGTTAAAACCTGCTAATGAATCCAAATTCTTTTGCCTATTGTTTGAAATCCCTTTAAAGGATCTTCTAGAGTCTAGACCCAATAACAAGTCATCTGCAAAATCTTTCCTCATAAAATATCTCATCCTGGCTTACGTCTTTATTCAGTGTATCAAGAACCAAAATTAATGGGAGTGGGAACAATGGGCAGCCTTGTCTTGTTCCTTTTTGTATCTCACATGGTTTTACTAGATACCCATTAACAATTATTTGTGCTTTCTGTGAAGTATAAATTGATTTTACCCATTTTATAAAATTATCTGCAAAATTCGTATTTCCCAAACTTAAAGAAGACAGAATCCTAGTGGGCTCCCTTTTGAGTGGAGATTTTCAAACGGGGGCTGGATGTCCACCGGTTGGGATGGAGACCTAAGTACTTTCAAAATTCTATATTTTATACTTCAAATTGCTGGAAATCTTATCCAGTTCACCTTCTGCTAGGCAAGTAACCAGGGGCTAGGATTCAGTGAAATCCATTTTCTCTATTCTCACCACTGCGTTGACTTATTAATCCCATTACGCCATCCAACATAATTAATCCAATTGTGGTTAATTAAAGTTCTAATGCAACATATCAGGAAACTCTAAGATTGGGAAGGGGTATGATACGCTGTGGGGATAAATAGAATGATTCAATAGAAATATTGGTGTGTCCCATTAATAATCTAAAAATGCATCGTGAACTTTCACTAAAGTTTCTGCATTATTCTTTTTCTTTAATATGTTTTTTAAAGGGTAGATTAAAAACAATGAAAATGAATATAAAGTAAGAAAAAGAAAAGAGAAAAAAGAGAAAGCTAAAAGTGCAAGAAAGGAGAAAAAAAACAAAAATAAAAAAATAAAATAGAAAGAAGATATAATTAGCTTCCAATCTTATTTACAGCAGTTTTAAGTAAATTATACATTTCTCTCTTATTCTATGGTTACAACGTAAGGTTCTTCTTTCTACAATCTGTCCTGTCCAATCATCAAAACCATAAATCAGACATTCATTTTTCCTGATCATGCAAATTGTCTATAAGGGCTCTTGATTTTCTGCATTAGTCTTGATGCCAAGGAAATGAGTGGAAAATAAGACAAGATACTCAGTCTCCAATTCAATTTAATTTAATTAACTGGCTGTGTACAGCCCAAGATGGATAGGGAAATTACAGAAACAAATATCTGTGGGTCAGAGTTTCAGAAAATACTTTCATCTTTTTGTATTCATCTCCCTGCTCCATTTTCAAATGTCCCCAAAGTACCATTCTGGCACACAATTAATAGGTTTCTCCTCCCAAATGGTCTGTAGCCGTTTGAGCCATGAAGTCAACATCTGTTGTCTTTTCTCTTCTGTCACATACTCAGGGGCAAAGCAGATCTGAGGGGAAAGGATACTGAAGCCACAGAAGTGTAAGATTCCATGCTGAAATTAAACAAGAAAGAGATACACTAAAAGTCATAATGTTTGGCTTATGATTAAACCATGGTTGATGCAGTTTTTTTAAAAAAAAACACACACAACAGTAATATTGTAAAGTTGAATTTACAGTAGTTTTCTGGCAAAGTTGCGAGAGGGAGCCAGAATAAATAAATAAATACATAAGTAAATAAGCACAGAGCTCCAATGCATCTGTAGGTTTGTATGGCAGCAAATTTACAAATTTAAGAATTCCAGTCCCAGATAAGTGAAGGCTTTAAAGATAATTATAAGTATTTTGAATTCCACTTCACACATACTGGTCAATAGGCCAAGTGAACCCTATTCCCTGGTATATTTGTCCAAACAATTACCTATTATGGCTATTCCAGTGAATTTTTATACAGTTCTTATGGACAACATAGATACAGCAGTTCATGACGCTTCTCAACCACATGAAGAATGCAGGCTTAGGAGAATTAAGAGTTTGCAACTTTATCAGGCCTGAATGAATCATCTATACACCCATTTATCTGCCTGCTTGCTTACTTACACACTTAGATAGCTTATAAACCATTCCAATCAACTACATATGAGTGATTTAGAACTCCCTAAACTTGTAATTAAAAACAAATACACAATCAAATTTTAAACTTTCATCAATACGTTATTTATTTATTTATTTTATTTATTTATTTTTTAAACTTATATGCCGCCCTTCTCCCAACAGGACTCAGGGCGGCTTACAGCATATTAAAACGATACAAACACTATCCCCAATAAAAACCAATTAAAAACAAATATTTATCGCTGTGTTACCATTAAAATTCTAATTAAAATTGTCCCTATTTAAAATTCTCCCTAGGCCAGACCCGCTTGCTGAAAAAGCCATGTCTTGNGGCCCGCTCTGTGGGAGCGTACTGGTCTGTGAGAGGAAATCTGTGGCAGAAGGCGGTCTCGGAGATATCCAGGTCCGATGCCATGGAGCGCTTTAAAGGTGGTAACTAACACCTTAAAGCGCACCCGGAAGGCCACTGGTAACCAGTGCAGCTCGCGCAGCAGCGGTGTTACATGGGAGCGACGAGTCCCTCCCAACACAGCCCGCGCGGCCGCATTCTGGACCAGTTGAAGCCTCCGGATGCTTATGGAAGAGAAGGAGGACTATTGTCATTGTTCTATAACAGTGATGACGAACCTTTTAGAGACCGAGTGCCCAAACTGCAACCCAAAACTCACATATGCATCATCGGGTGCCGGGTGGGTATGGCCTGTTAGGTGGGTGTGGCCCATTGGGTGGGCGTGGCTGTGGTGGTAACAGCAGACTGGGTGGGACTAAAAAGTTCAATCAATCAATTCCAACTTTGCGAGATCTTTTTTTCCCCCCAAGAAGTTGAAATTGACTGATTGATTGAACCTTTTTTTTTGTACACGGTGACGGAGGCCTAAAGCGAAAAGGTTTTATAAAACCCAGCTGAAGGCCTAGGACTGGGACGATGGCGCGCGTGCCCCCAGAGAGGGTTCTGAGTGCCGCCTCTGGCACCCGTGCCATAGGTTTGCCACCACTGTTCTATAATATCCATTAGTCCTGGCAACTGGCTATGCCAGCTAAGACTAAAAGCAGATGTAATCCAGCAACTAATGCAGATTGAATTGAATTGAAAACCTTCTGAGTTCAAAATGACCCAATTCAACTATAAAATTCCTGTTCAGTTCTCAGTGAGTGTTCCAGTTCTATTCCCGCCATTGCAGAAGTGTTCTGAGCACTAATCTGGACACCTTTTTGAGCTTGAAACACTTCTAGAATTATTGGAGCAGGGTTGGGAGATGTCTATGACCTTGGAATGTTTTGCCCATCCCTATTAAATGGCCAAGAAGCTGAACTTTATTTAGCCAACTCCTATCTCCCTAAATCAATGGCTATACCAGTGATGGTGAACCTTTTAGAGACTGAGTGCCTCAAAACTGCCCTGCCACCCCACCTGTCCTGCTCCATGCCTCACCCGCTCCGCCCCGCCCCCCACAAGGCCACCCACCGCCTCCACGGCCCGCCACAGCAGATCGCCCAGGCGGCCCAGCCGCGACATGGCAGCCATGCCCTCCACCCGCGCCTCACAGCATCATCTGTGTGCGATTGGGTGCAAGGGCGGAGTCTTGTCCCTGCTGCCCAGCTGCCATGTTTTTGGCTGTGCTGCTCCGCGCAGACTGCGCTCAGGGGCAACTCTCCTCCATGGGGGCTGCTGGTGAGAAGGGGTCTGTGGGGGGAGGCGGGGCTGGGGCAACAGCACACGTGCCCACAGAGAGGGCTCTGAGTGCCGCCTCTGGCATGCGTGCCATAGGTTCGCTACCACTGGGCTATACACTGGCCAGCCTTCATATTCCATGCAAGCAAGAAGGAAAGTTTGAGGAAAGAAAAAGGAAAAGGATTTGTTGTGAAAGGCTTCCTAGCTCAGTTCCCTTAGAGATATAGGACATATATCTCTAAAACACTAATACTAACATGAAAATGTTTTTTACGTTCTCAGTTCTGCTTTGGGAAGGTCACTGGCAAAAGCAACATATTTAGAAACATAAAAAGACATTGGCTGTTTATTGATCATATTATTCTTCATGATGTGGGCAAAATAAAGAAAAGCCAGTGCCAAGAGATTCCTCCCATTATGTTTTGAAGCCCTAGTCATATAGAGCAGAGCTCCCCAACCTTTCCAACTTGGCGGCCTGGAAGGAAAGAGAGGAGCAGGGAAATGTGCACGCACACCGTAGCGCTAGCACGCACGCATGCACAAACGGGCCATGCGCATCTGTGCAAACAGGTCGCTGGCACCTGCGCATATGCATAAACAGGCCACTAGCACCAGTGTGATGCTGGTGGCGGTGCTAGTGCACCCGTGCATGTGCAAATGGGGCCACTAGTGCCTACGTGGCAGCACTACCACAAGTGGGGGGACTCGTCAGTTATTCCCACGGCCCAGTGGCCAACAAGCCATGGTCCACAGTAGGTTGGGGACCCCTGATAAAGAGAGAAAGTGGGACTGCTGCTTTTGCTTGTACTATAACAACTCATTCATGAAGGATGAGTCCATATTTCTTGGATTCTTATTCAGAGATTGCTGGCTGGAAAATCTAGAAGCTGCAGTCCCAACAGACCCAAAAAACACCACCTTGAGGAAGACCACAAAGCAAGAATAAGAGAAGACACCGGTTGGTTGGGGAGAACAGAAAGTCTGTCCAGTGGTAAGCGTAACTGAATGCTTGTATCAGTTAGCTGCACAGTGTGCTTGCTATAACTGGCTGACTGAGATCTCCTGAAAAACTGAAAGAGGAGTTCAGTGCCTACCTAATTCTCCAGAAGCCAAGTCTGAGCCAGCATTTGCATTTAGTCTCCACTTACCTGCATGGGCCAGAGAAGGTAACGGATATTATCACTGGGTCCTCTCCTTGAATACATTTCTTCGTCTCCTCCAGTGGTAAATGAAAGTAAAGCTAATTTATTCTAGAATGGAACACATGTTTTATGTATATATTCTAAATTAATACTCAAACCAAAGCCCGCACAGTGCAACATAACAGGATACAGCTTAAACCACAAAAAGTTACATTGCAATGTGATTCAAAAAACATTAGAACAGTATCCTTTAGAATAAATTAGAAAGCATTTCAGAAAGCTGCATTATGTTTTAAAAATATGAAATAAGGTTTTAAAGGCCAGTTTAAAATCCTGAATTGATAGAGCTGTACAATTAGTACTTTAGCAAAACTCCATAAACAACCATCAACAAGGCCAGCCAATTGACTGCCAATTGGGCCAAACTTCACTAACAGGTTACAAGTTTCCATAGGTGAACTCAGATTAATATGTTCATTATACATTGAGTGCATCTGAAATACATTTCTTTATTATAGGTTTTTTCCAAGTTCTTTATTTTGAAGCCAATTTTTCATGCAGTTAATTTTTTGAGATCTTTAATTTGCCACAGATTCAGTGAAAACTGTATTTTCAATGCAAATTTTTGCACTGGTTAGGAAATATCAGCCAAAAATAATGAAAAGATTTATTATAAATCTATTGGTTTTCAAAATTCCTTTCAAAGCTGCCAATTTCTAAAAAAACCTGAGCATTGCCAATGAAAACAGCACATTTGTAAAGAACTGGCTACAACTAGCTGGCTATATCAACTACCAAGATCCTGTAGGTTGGAAGTTTACACTTCATATCAGGCAGTTTTAGCAGACTGTTGTGCCACGTATGAATAATCACCATGATCAAATCCTGAGGATTTGCTAAAGTAGATTTAAAAGGAATTTGGTGCCACAGAGAGTTATTAATGAAGTTTATCAACCTTAAATCAAATTTCCAGAATGTTTATAAGACTTTCAAGAGAGAACTTGTCATATTTAGTATAAATGTTTTATGTAACACTGATGAAATTCCTTTGCTATTAAATATTCATGTAATCAACCTTCAGAGGTAGATTACATGAAAAATTAATTCTGGGAGTTGAAGTTCACACATCTTAAAGTTGCCAAGTTTGAAAAACACCACCTAGATCAGTGGTTCTGAACCTGTGGGTCGGGACCCCATTTGGGGTCGATCGACCATTTCACGGGGGTCGCCAAGCAAGGCTGTCCGCCTTTTTTTTCGTCCGCCATTTTTTCCCCTTTTCCGGCGGGTGCCTTACCTCCCTTGGGCTGGGCCAGCTGGTGGTCGGCCTGCTCCGTCTCTGCCGCTTGCCAGCTACGCCTCGGCCGGTGCAGGGGGGTGGAACCACGCATGCGCGGTGCTCCCGGGCAGGGAAAGTCCTTGACTTACGACCGGTTGGGTAGTTCTTGACTTACGACCGGTTTAGTCCTTGACTTACGACCGGTTTAGTCCTCGACATACGACCGGTTTAGTCCTCGACTTACGACCGGTTGGGGTCGCGGCATTAAAAAGGTTGAGAACCACTGACCTAGATGCTTTACCTAGAAATGACTGACCTTGCTTGGTTTGCAGTCAGGTTGATATTTGTGACCATTCTGTTTGTGAAACACATTCCATAGTCAAAGGGTTTCTATTATTATATCTTCTAATTTATTTGGTTCCTTACTTATACTTTGTTAATTATCTTCAGTAGAGATACGAAGGCAAGATATTAATGTCAGTAAAATCTTAGTTTAGTGTACACTTATAGGCCACCTACCTTGAGTAAACCAGAATCATAACACTTTGGGAAATCATGAGCAAATCCTTGGACTAAGACTCTGTCCATCCAGCCCTTCAGGATGGCTGGCATGCTGAACCAATATAAAGGAAACTAGATAGGATTACAAGAGAGAAAGGAATAATATATTTGGCTTTAAAATACCCCAAAACACCAACCTCTTCAGAAAGGCAACAATCGAGCAGGACGCATTGCAAATACGTATAAATTAACAAAGTCTGGCATTATTATTACAACGTTGTGCCTTTAACATGGATCCTTCTATATCAGTATAGTGATTGGCAACACACACTAAAGGTCAGACATATCCCTTCAGCAAATGTTTTTATCTACATCAGAGATGGGAACTATGGCACCTTTATGACTTGTGGACTTCAATTCCCAGAATTCCTGAGCCAGCATGGCTGGCTCAGGAATTCTGGGAGTTGGTCCGCAAATCATACGAAGGCCATAGTTCCCCATCCCTGATCTACATCATCTGAAGCAATCATTTTTCTTACTTGTTCAATAATAATTAAAATTTAAAAATATCTGCCTTTATTCTGAAACAAAACCAGATTTATATACAAAGCACAGAATTGGGAAAGTTAATCAAAATAGATTAATGTATTGAACTGTCAATCCTAACCTATTCCCTAGATATGTGCATGTAGACATTCTCTTATCCCAACCAACTTGACCCCAGGTTGAATGGCAGAAATGGAATATGGACTTCGACACATCTGGAGGGCAGCTAGTTCAGAATGTTGAAGAACATACTACACTCACCAGCACCTATTGGACCAAAATATAAGGGATAATATTTGAAAAGTTCTTAAATGATATGATCAAACCAAAGCAAGCACAAACCTAAAACTACTCTAAAATCCAAAGTTATATCAACATGATCCAAGCTCTTAAACCAATTTGATCCAGCAACGGAAGTCTCACACAAACAAGCTTTTGAAAAAATAATGACCTGGAAAATCACCAAGTCGGCTTTGTTGACTTTCTTTTGCTCCTCAATCAAATCTTCAGTCAGACATCCATTTTCATAAGCTTTCCAGGCCTCAATTCCATAATTAAAATGATCAGGATTGTATAATTCACCTATGGGCACAACATGACACAATCTAGTTGCATTTGAAGTTACCATCCCATCTTTTTTTAACATAGGATCTCTGTCATCTTTCACTTAGATTTAACTCAGATCACAAAATATCATGTAAAATCTTAAAGGAACGGAGGACGCAGGGAAATCAGTATTTTTCTAGAAGTCTAACAGCCCCCAGATTAGTTTGGATATTAGAACTCACAGCCTGAGCAAAAAGACTTCTGTTTACCCCTCATTTTCTTCTTTTCAGCAGTATTATTTTGAAGGAATGGAAAAGTGTTTTGCTGCTGTTATTGTTAAACAATTGGAGTCAAAGGATGCTGTTGGAAAACTCCTGAAATCTTTGTTCATGACCCATCCATCCTTCACTCAAGTCATTACCTTATTAATTTTACATACTGTAAAATTGATTTGGCTAACAAACACATTTTTTCCATATACAATTCTTGTATCTCAGTAAAATGTATTCTTGGGACAGTTTCTTGGAAATACAAACCACAAATGTCCTTCTACCTCATCAATGGCACCTACCAACTATATCTTTCCTAGTTGTTCTTGGCTCAAATTGCATTTCATACAAGTCTGAAACAGTGACTGTACAGCCTTCCTTCTTCAGTTCTTCCACTGTCAAGGTTTTAAATGAACCATTCAGAGATTTGAGCTCTTGGTGTGCATAGACAATCAATACTTCTTTCCCTAATGTTTAAAAAGATGAAGAAAAGCAATATTTACTTAAAATAGGAATTCCAAAGGCAGATAAAAATCAAGGTGAGAAGATTTTCTGCAATCAGCAATAGCATTCCAGTTTGAACATTTAGAAGCCTGTAACTGCTTTTTTTTTTTAAAAAAAATAATCATTCTTATTCTTTTATTTTATCTTTTTATCAGTCAGATCAAGGTAGGGTTTTTTTTAATGCTTTTGTGTCGATCTTAACTCCTGGTAACTATCTGGACAATGTCCTGCAATTTTCTTAGCAAGATTTAGGAAGTGTTTGCCATTACCTGCTCTCTAGGGCTGGAATTGAGTGACTGGATCAAGGCTACTTAGGCATTTTGTGTCTAACGCCGGCCTAGAACTCACAATCTCCCAATTTATATGCCGATGCCTCAACCATTACACCAAACTGGCTGAAGGAAGCTCTTCCTATCCTGATTTTATCCTACAGCAACCTTTTGGTGTTAGATTGAGTTAGCGGTGATTGGTCCAGGGCCATTTCATATAGTTTCTAGTCAGGATTCTTTAAATATAATATTTTTAAATATAAAACAAGGTAATCTGTTTGTTACCCACTGATACCACCATCTCTGCTGTTCCCTGACCCAGCTAACATTTCCTCTTATCATTTCTTTAAAAAACAAAATGGAAAGATGGCTCACTGCACCTTTATTTTCCCAAAGGCTTTTGGACTCCTCCTAGACCCCATGGCGTTTTAGGAAATAAAAATATTAGATGGCTGAAATTTGTAAATATCACCCCTTCCCTCCCACACAATGACCATTTGGAGAGAACATTCATAGTACTCTCTAAGTATCTCTGTCTGCCAGTCCAATTGGTTGTCCCTGTGGAAAATGAGGGGATCTAGGGGGACATCTTAATTCTCCCTTGATAGAAAGATGATAAAAGTACAACTTACCTGCCATTTTTTCAACACCCTGCAAGTCTGTCAGTTGAGAAAATGCGGTTTTGAAAGGTTCTTGTCAAGATGGTTACAAAAAGAAAGATAGATACTAAATTCCTTTCCTTGGTTTTCAAAAACAAATATTACTTGAAGCTGCTCATCTTGATGAATAATGAGAACCACGGAAAAAAACAATAGACACACAAACTTAAGCACAAGAGCATCAGCAAAAATATCCTAGCTTAATAGCTCTTGGCAGTAGAAAAGGAAGCGGCTTTTAACTCCCTCTCTCTCATTCCTATCCAAGTCCCAAAGCAAAGCAAAGTAGATTCAGTTTCTTGAGATCTCTGGAGTACCCTAGGATCCACCACCTGGAAAAAGGGGAATGAGAGTTTGCTGCTATTTGCATGCGCTAGGGATGTGGATTCTCAGGAAATTAGTTCTGTTTTGAACTAAGGATCAAAGACACAGTCTTATGGAGCTTCTGCCAAAAAGGTTTGGGTCAACCCCAGTTTAACGGAAGTGAAACATCCAACACTTAAGTTGCTGCAACTATTAGAGTAAGAAAAACCAAGACAATGCTAGCTATCATTCCCTGTTTCTTCTCCACACTCCCTGAGACACATGGTCTCAAACTAAGCAGGAGTTAGTTCAGTAGACTCTGTTGGTTTATAATCAGGGGTCTTCAAACTTGGCCCTTTTATGACTTGTGGACTTCAACTCCCAGAATTCCTCAAGCCAGCGTGTCGGGCTGAGGAATTCTGGGAGTTGAAGTCCACAAGTCATAAAAGGGCCAAGTTTTAAGACCCCTGGTTTATAGTCATAATAAATTCACAGACCCTTATCTGTCCATTATACCTAAGGCACACAACATCTAAAGAAATATATAGTTTGCTTATTGGAAGAGATGCGGACCAATCTGCCACAGCCTAGAATGCAAGATCAAGAAGAAGAAACTAATCAGCCTATCAGAAAATAAACATTTTTTAAAAAACCCTTGCAAAGTATAAAGCACTTCACCCATTTTACGATTATGCAGTTTTGCCTTACCGCACCTTACCGCAACGTGCCTTAAGCACGTTGAGTGGCTTTCCAGTGTTAACACAAGTACCGTCACGGAGGATTTTATACCATTTTATACTGTATTTTATACCATTTTATACTGTATTGCATCGCTTCCTCAGAAGTAAGCTCCGTCCGTGACTTTACTTCCAGGCAGCTAGCTTTCTACCTCCGGTCGTTCGAAATAACCCGCGTTGACTTATTAGCCCAGCTAATTCACGGATCAAAATAAGTGTTAGTAAATAATAATTAATGCATGTTTATAGCGTGGACTGTTACAAGTCTTTCCAATGAATATAGAATTACTTATTTCTGAATAAGACAGCATGTACGATTGGGCTACGGGGCGGTCCAAGATATTTGGATGAACTACAGTAAGTTTTAGTAAAAAGGACAGTTTAGGGTTCTCCTTTTATATTATTTCCAGATTTCTCAAACTGTAAACGTTACATGGATTTTCTTTCTTCTTTTTTTTTGCAAGCCGGTTTCCTTACTTGAAACTCGTATTGGAATATTAATAAAAACCTAACAATAGAATACAATCAAAATTCTTAATAAAAAGTTGGAAAGGAGAAGATCGTACCTGAAAACAGCAAAGTAACCTGGCGGACAGGATAGGCTCAGATCACCTAAGCCGGCTAAGCAAAACAGGATCGATAGAGTTAGTGCGACTAGTAGTGCCTGGCAATTTAAAAAACGGGGTGGTGGGCCCGCCCCTTTCTTAGTTACGTCTCACAATTATGCGATTTGGAACGTGTGATTGATTGTCTTCGCCGTGGTGAATTTAATTGCGTTTTCATGCGTATCTGAATTGCAATTTTCCAATCTGAGACAGTACTGGAGAGAGGGAAAAGGGATATTTCAATTAAAATGAGATTTCTGTTGAACAGCAAGTGCCGTAGATAGAAACCTTGTTCAGCCGTTATCGATTGGGTTCACATGACAAACTGAACGAAAAGGCAGTGTGACCATGCGTGGATTGGTGTGGTGGGAATCCAGCTGATGTGCACAACATAGTGAAGTCCCAGCAAACTAGGGTGGCTGAGTTCACACAACATGCTAAGCTAAAATATATTTGGATAATTCGTGGTTCAGTGTCCTGTGCAAACCAGCCTAGTGCTGTTAATTTATGATTCAGTATGTATGGTACTACTTTTAATTCAATAAACCACAGAGCAATTAACTGAATTAATGTGTTATTGATAACCGCTAATTTTCACTGGGTCTTATGATTAGATAAATATGCATAGAACAATTATTCAGAGCCTCTTGTCATATGAGGAAGTGGAGACTGCCTTCTTATTGTTTTCCAAATAATTAGGTATTCAGAACTGGATTATTAATTAATGTTTCCAATGTTTAGAACTATTGCATGAGCAATACAAGCCTTACAATCATGGAATCGGGATGAGAAAGGCCTTGGGGAGATTCTAGTCAAATGCCCAATGCAGAGCAGGAATTTTCAGGCCATCCCTATCAAGGGCTGGCCAGCCTTCTTTTCAAAATCTCCAGAGATGCACACACACAACTCCTGAAATTCTGGACATATGAGAGGCTGAGAATAGCGATTCTTCATGCCTTCCCAACACCTTGAATCTGGCACTTCTCCGATTACAGTAGGACTGAAAAAACATCACTCATAAATAAGGAGTCAAGAGACATGGCTTGAAGCTACATATTTATATCCTGTTCTTTCACTATGTACCTCAGAGCAATATGCCTAGCTGCTCACTCTTACTCTGATATAAGTTAAAGAGTACCTGTGTCCCAAATTCAACTAAGCTGTGCTTTGTTTAACATTGGTGTATTGGCCAATTATAGTAGGCAAAAGGAATTGGAGGAACGAGCTAGAGTTGCAGCCAAGAGTCAGATAAAAAAAAAATCTGGGTCAGGGGTGGAAATATAATTTGAAAAAGCAGCTCAGACAGTCCCTCTCTAGTTTCCACAAAGATGGGGGGGGGGATGGGGACTTTCAGACTTACAAGTTTCTATTACTATAATCTTATAATAGTAGTAGTATTAGCAGTCATAATTTTCTATTTTTGAATAGATCTGTTCTGAAGGGCTGGCTTTTAGATGCTAAATCTCAAAACAAATTTGATGAGTAATACTATGAGGGAACCCAGTTTATAACTGACCCTGGATGCGAACTTAGCTCTCATGGGTCCTAATTCGGTACTCCAAGGACATCAGCCTGGCTTCTTCAGTCTTATAAGATTCACAACTATTTCTTTTCCAGCTAGATTTTGGATTGTTTTGAAATTATAATTACACTAATTCTTTTAGCCACATTTTTAAAAAAATTGAGGTTGATGTCACATTCAGGATTTTCCTACCTGATAATGGCAGGAATATCATCTATGAATCTGTTAGGCAAACCATGATGAAATGGAATTACAGCTTAGTGTAGTTAATGAACTAAAACACATGGTGTTTCCAGATTCTATTTAAAGGGCTGGAGATCATTTTCTGCCTTTAAGAACAATGCACTCGAAGTACAAAACCAAATAATAAATCAGGATATCTGTAATAAAATGAGCTTGTATGAAATGCTCTTCTGCAATTGCCTGGCTACTCTGTCCCATCATCCCCCACAAGTGTAATCCTGGATCTCAACTCCACTGAGCTGGTTTAGTCCTCAGCGGGTTGTTTTGTCAGGATGACCCTACTGTAGAATTTTAAAAAATTATTGTCAAGATGATTTGTATATCTGCAGACCTTGAGATTCTCCAAGCCCACTCATTTTTATGTGGATAGAGTTGCTTTAATTACATACCTAATTAAACAAAAAGAACAATGTCATTAATAGTTACCCTACTAACAGTCTTGGTTTTGTTCAACAAAAGATCTCTTGATAGAAAAAAAAATCTGGTTGCTGAAAGAAAATGACTTTTTGGTCTTTGCAGACAAAGCTATAATGCGTGGGGAGTGTTTACATTAAGGAGCCTTCTACACGCTTGAATTGTACCAGTCTGGGATGGGGATTACTCTCCTGGATGGCCACAGTTTTGGAAAGGAGTTCAGAGTAGCCCACCTGTTTAATGGAGCGAGAGTTCCCACCAGTAGGAAACTTCTGTAGAACTTGGAATGGCCTCCCAAGCTCAGTCTAGAAGTGCACTACTCAAACCCAACTCCAGTATGAAGATACAGGTACAGTAGTTTAGGTCAATCCATGTGCATGATAAACCCAGATTGGCACAACTACTACGCATAAGGGGTCTAAGCTGCTGTACTATTCCCATTAATGGCATCTAGACATGTATTCATTAATAGAATCTAAACATGACAATATTCAGCATTTTTTCTAGCTCTTGACTTCATACTTCTATAGACCCATTGTTTTTGTTTTTGCAAAAATCTTATGAATTACAGATAATAACCATGCTACTGACACAAAGGAATGGAAATGACCATTGACTGCACCTGCACAGCGAAAATGCATGGCCATTTGTGTTTTTCTTTTGAAATAAGCTTTGAAAATATTGCCTTTTAACATTTAATAACAATTTTCTGGAAGACTTGACATAGGTAATTCAAGCTTTAAATCATTTTTAAGAAGAACAAAATTGACCAATTTCACCCCCAGCTATGGAAATGTCCAGGGGGACTTTACCATCAGGTTCCTTCCCCAGGATCTGGAGGCAATAGGGATCGGGATAGGAAAGGACAGACTTTGGCTTAACTCTAGCAAGACTGGTTGATTATGGGTTTTAGAGTTCCCCACACATGAGGACCTTCCATGGCAGTACTTAGTACCCAGAAAGAATGGGTGTGCAATGGGGAAGTGGGGGGTGCTCTTGAATATTTGGTTGAAAGAGAACTGGAGCATATGGCAGCAATGGCTAGGAAAGCCCTTTCCATAATTCAATCCTGAGCTTTTTCTTAGATTGAGAGGTCATGGTCACTCATGATTTGGAACATGATTGTGGTTGGATATATCTTCATTTCTAGATTGACAGTCATATAATCTTAATAGATATCTTGTGATTGTCTGAAAACAAACACTGTTTTGTATCAGTAATGAAATTATGATGCATGTTTTATCATGTGCCCTCCCTATCCCCCTACTGTGGACTTCTATGCCAATAAAATCTTGTTACTTCCTTGTGACTATCCATTTTTTTTAAAAAAAGCATTTTCATCTTAGATTTTGAGGTCTGAGTGAAGAGGTAGGTAAATGCTGGGAAATGCTGGAAGAGGTCTGAGACTTTAATTTATATCATGCTTTTTATCTGTAAGACAT